CGATCCATCAATTTGTATCGAGGCCATTGGCTTCCCGGGGCTTGCCTCGGGCATGTGAATCGTTGCTGCTTTTCATATATATGTGGAGCAGCCTCGGCTTCTGCGCAAAACTCTACCACTTTCAAATAGCCGCCTTTCCGTTTCGGTATAGGGGACTGCATATTTCTAGGCGCGAAAATATTGGTGCGTACCTTTTCTTTGGCATGTTAGCTCCACCATAGCCATGGAAACTGCTTCAGGATCGATCTGACAAGAGGCCGGGGGCGTTGTTCCTGGTGCTCAGGAATCAAGGGAGTTTGCTTTGGAGACGGTGTCTTTGCTGAGGAGAGAACATCTGAAGATGGCGAGGAGATACTGTAGGTGGAGCGGAAGGCCTGCAGGCGCTTCCCCCCGATGAGGGTATTGCGGATTCTACTAATGGATTTATGAACGTGTATTTATATCCTTTCGCCTTTGGCCCTCCTAATAGGATTGTGCTTGAATTCTGTCTAAAGTATCAGGTTACCCTGGCGCAGATTCACCCGTCGTTTTGGCGAACGGTACTGATGATGAGGTTATCCGAGTTCGGACGGCTGACATCATCCCTGCGAGTTCTTGCCAATTCCTGAGGAGTGGAATTACGCTCGTAAGTGAGGCATCCGGAACCTTATCAGATCTCATTTATGGCAAATCAGCCAAGTAATAATGTTGTTTTCTCTATTGCAGCAACTTTGTGGATGTCGGGTGGAGTTCATGATCTGCCCGACTGGGTTCAAAAGCTGGTGGTCCATTTGTCCTGTGATGAACGCAGGTGGCGAGCTGGGGGGTGTTACCCGAATCTGCTATCCCCGGAGCACTTGATTCCCGGCCGGAGGTTCCTTTAGGTGAGCATGTCGCGCACGAGGTTGGCTCTTCTAGGGCCGTAGAGAAAAAATCAGTAGGAGTGAGCTTTGACTTCGAGGAAGTCTGCCGGCTCCATTTTGCGGTAAGTTTATGCATAGTTCGCTTGTATCCTGTGTCTTCCTTCTTTTATTGATCCTTCCTTGCGCAAGCCTGTGATGGGCTTAGGTTTGAACTGCTCCGTCAAGGGGCCAAGCTCTAGAAAATTCGGGAGGAGGGTGAGTCCCATAGGCTCCTCAGCGAGGAGAAGGTAGTCGAGCTGCAGCATTGGCGATATGAGGCGCATCGGAGCTCGAACTATGAGAGCTATTTGGTGGAGCAGATAATTTTCCAGCAGTGTGTGTTTTGCTTCCTTTTGTCCTTGTGGCTGATTCCACTTTACTGTATCAATTGCGGAAAAATCAGAGGCTTTGGACTCCCTCAAAGGCGATGTGAACCGCATCAAAATTGCTTGCGGGGAGCTAAGGGCTCAAGCGCAGGCACGAGCTTTGGAGGAGATGGATGCTTCGGCCATTGTTCCTGCCCTCGAGGTCCAACTCTGCTTGATTCGAGACAACGCCAAAGTTCAAGCGGATATGATTGGGAAACTTGAATCGGACCTCTCGAAGTTCAGAGCTGAGATAATTAAAGCCCAGGCAGAGGCAGCGCTAAACCGAGCCAAGGCCGATCGTGAGATGGCGATTTGTGTGAAGGATAACGCTGATGCCCAAGCTGAGCTGAAGCAAACCCTGGACCGAGAGCGAATGATTGAGTAATATGTCTGTTGTAAAGCCCGGAGAGAGGTGTTCGAATAAATCAGAGCAAGGGGCTTCGTTCTCCCGGAGGAGTTAGCTCGAGCACGGGCGGATGAACGCGATGCTCGGTCGCTTCACATCGATGTCGCGGAGGCGATTTTGGCAAGCTGTAGCTCTTTAGCGTAGAATGTAGATTTTGTCGCTTTGTAGCTTGGCTCCGAATGTATGTAGGGCATGCTTGTAGATGGAGAATACGCTTTTTCCTGTGCACATGACATATAAGGAGAAGTTTCAAAGTTTTATTTCTTCTGTACCTTTTCCCTGCTGTTGTTTTTGATCAGGCATGTTGGTCTTGGCGTTTGGCAAGGTCCCTCTTAGTTCGGAACTGGTCGGACGTTCCCAGGAACCCCTAAGTGTGATTCCTGATATGAGCAGGTGCTGGGCCTCCATGCTTGGCCTGGCCGTTTAGGCTTAGTTGCCGGGTTGGGCTTCGACTCGAGCCTTCATGTCTTTGCATTTTTTGTGCCCCTGCGTGTCGGTGGTAGTCGTATTTATCCTACACCTTTGGGTATTTTGCCGTTTTCAACTGTCTTTTGGGTCAGGTCGCATTTGTGGCCCGAGCTGCAATTTCTCTTCGGGACTTATCCCGGCTTGTACGGGCGGAACATGACGGTCCTTTGTGCTCTTAGTTAAATTTGATACTACGGGCAAGTGGCCTGGAGATCTGATGAGGGTGTCATCTGGGCCATACCCTCAGGCATGCTGTGTTTTAACTATCTTGGGCCCAGTCTTTGAGTCCCGCTGCGATTCGGGCTGTGATCGACCCTTATGTTACCTTGAATTGGCGACAGTGGCGTTTATTCCTCGCTTCATGGGGTCTCGTAGTTTCCGGGTCCAGTCTCCAAGCCGTGTTGCGATCGGAGCTGTAATCGACCCTTAAAATCTCATTGATATCCTAGCGACGATAGTACTTATGTCGCGCCCGTAGGCGTATTGCAATCTTCGGGCTTAGTCTCCGGATTGTGTTGTGATCCGAGCTGTAGTTATCCCTCAGATTTTACTGCATTTTCGGTGATGGTGGTATTTATGTCGTTTCGTCGTAGAGACCCTTTGATATGTGGCCCGTAGGTTTCGTACAGTTAACTATTTTGGATAAGGTCTCTGAATCGGGTTATGATTCAAGCTCATTTTAATCCTCAAGTTGTCATGATTTTTTAGCTGGCGACAATGGCTCTTTTGTTGTCTGGTCGTAGAGACCTTTCAATATGTAGCCCGTAGGCTTGCTTAGCTGGCGACAATGGCTCTTACGTTGTTTGCCCGTGGGCTTTGTGTGTAGGCTTTGTATCCGCTCATTAAGGTCTTTTTGTGATATTTTGCCTGACCAATCGTCGGTTCCAGAGGAACCTCGATTTCAAGTCGTTCTCGGTGGTGTTTCGAGCACCTCATGAGGTTCATAGCCCGTAGGTCGAGTAGATCGACGCTCTTGCATTTTGGAGCCGACATGGTCGGAGCTCGTTTTTGCCTGTGGAGGGAAGCATGTTTTAACCGGTTCTTTCCGAAGTAGATTCGGAGGTTTTTTTTAGCGACAGTCCGGCGTCCCCAAGTCGCATTTTTTGTGGGTTGTAGCAGCCGTTTTGATCGGAGTCATGTGCGTTTGGCTGGAGCCATTTTTGATCCCGAGAGGTAGTTTTAGGCGTCTACACCGAGGGTATGCCCTTTAGGGATTCTTACAAATGCGCCGTATAGCCTAAACTGCAGGATTTTTCATGCCTGTTGAGGTCTTACAGTTTGCCATACCTGTTGAGGTCTTACAATGTATGGAGAATAGATCTGATTGTGCCGAGGCTGCCCGCTAGGGTCTTACAATTTTGGATTTTTCAGTGCGTGGAGATTGGCGACAACCTCCGAGTCATCGAGTTTGCTTGAAGACAGCTTCTCGTGAGCTCGGAGTTGATTTTTGGGGGCTTGGTGAGCCCGGAGTTATTTTTCGGGGGCTTGGTGAGCCCAGAGTTGTTTTCGGGGGCTTGGTGAGCCCGAAGTTGTTTTTCGGGGGCTCGTTGAGCCCGGAGTTCTAACCCTGGGGTCGTGCAAGTTGTCAAGTTTCTTATATTGAGTCTCCGAGTATATCGGATCAGTTTAGGCTTGAATACCGCCTTTTGTATACTTGGAGCCGTTTCGCGAGGGCTTCAAGAGTCCGGAGTCCCGACGCTGGTGTCGTAGGGGTGTTGAACCGCTTATGTCTCCGAGTATATCGGATTTGTTCGAGCTTGAATACCTCAAGATGCTGGAAGATATTCCTCGATTCACCAGCATAACATGCGTGCCGTTTGTGCTGGGATGGCTTATTTTTTGCCGAATACGGTTGCTTCGATGATTTATTTTACTTCGAGAAGTAGACTTCCTTTCCTTTCACAGGAAAAATGGATATTTTTTGATTGATTACCCGAAAATAGTACATACTTTCGCTCTGGCGGATTTTGATTATATTGGTCGTTCGGCCTTATACGTTGTCTTCCCGAATGAACCTTTGCTTTTTCGTTTCTCCATCTCCTTTGGATTGGGTGGCTCCCAAGGGGAATGCCCTTCGCCGCCTGTAGGTTGGCCGGTAAGGTGGCTTTAATCAACCCTGTGGAGTTTTTCCCCTTTTAGCAGTTTTGCCGTCGTTGCCTCGTTAAAAACCTTGCCAGTAAAAACCCTTTTCTTGTTTTGGGATAAAAAACTCGGTCTAAGGAAAAGAGTCTAACGGGCTCCCGGGGTCTTGATTTCTTCCGATATCGTTGGTGTCCCGATCTCTCGGGCTGGGTGCCTGCATGGGGGTTAGTTCTTATCTTGAAATAAAATAAAAGAAGTGGATGTACCTTAAAGCGTGGTAGGGCGGCGGCGCCTCGTGGTCGGCTTATTACGACTTCCTGAGGATAAATACGTGATACTGATTTCATTTTTTGGCAAACTCGACCGGGGTCGAGGTCTGATTCATCCATTGGCTTTTCGGGGAGCAGAGGCGCGGGTGTTGGCGGTACATCGTGTATGGCGAACATTTCCTTGCCGCATGTTTCTCCCCATAGACGGTTTTGATCCCATCCTTTGTTGGGAATTTTATCATCTGATGGAGAATGGATGGTACCGCTCTCATGTAGTGTATCCATGGACGCCCAAACAAGGCTTTATATCTCATGTCTCCTTCGGTGACATGGAATTTGGTGTCTTGGGTTGTGACGGCCACGGTAATTGGGAGGGTGATTTCTCCTTTCATTGTCTCGCTTGCCATGTTAACCTATTAAGGACCCGAGTGGCGGGTACGATCCGTTCAGTCAGCCCGAGCTATTCTACCACTCTTGACCTAATAATATTGGTCGAGCTACTTGGATCCACTAGTACACGTTTTATCTAAAAAGAATTTACGAGGAAATAGATTACCAGGGCATCGTTGTGGGGTTGGGATAGAGCCTCGGTGTCTTCTTCACCGAACGTGAGGGCGTCTTCGGGGATATATCCCCGAGTCCGTTTTTCCCTGGTGATGGATATTTTTGTTTTCCTCATCATGGGCTCCTGCGGGGTATCAACGCCTCCCATGATCATGTAGATGACGTGTTTTGGCCCGTTTGCTTCATTTTTCTTGGTCGCTTCCCTGTCTTGAAAATGGTTTTTAGCTCGATCACTAAGGAACTCCCGAAGGTGCCCTTTGTTGAGTAGTCGAGCCACTTCTTCTCGTAATTGGTGGCAATCCTCGGTTCTGTGACCGTGTGTATTGTGGAACTCGCATACTAAGTTGTAATTCCTCTGTGATGGGTCTGACTGTACTTGTTTGGGCCACTTGGCATCCGTGATTTTGCTGATAGCGAACACAATATCCGATACATCATCGCTGAAGTTGTATTTCGACAAGTGGGGCGCGTTCATCGGTGCCATATTCCGATCGAGCCTAGTTCTTTTGAAGATCCCTCGAGGGTCCTGTCCTCGATCTATCCTCCGGTCGTTGCGAGGTAAGTTGCACCTTGGGGGGTTTCTTCTGTCTTCGAGGTATGGCTGGTATCTTTCTTTGTTTGGTTTCATCTCCTTTGCCAGGAGTCTGTTGGGGTATACTGAGCGTGAAGGAGCTCCCAGCTGGTCATCCTCGGCCCTGATCTTCAACCGGTATCGATTGTGAATGTCCAACCAGGTTACGGTCCGGTATTCGATAAATTCTATTTCAGTTATTTTGAGGCCATCGAGCTTTGTTCGTTCAGGCCTTGGGTGAAGGCTCGCACCGCCCAGTCGTCAGAGACTGGCGGTAGTTCCATTCGTTCCATCTGAAAGCGGGATACGAACTCCCGCAACATCTCATTGTCCCTGTGCTTGATTTTGAAAAAGTCGGACTTCCTCATTGCTACTTTGATGGCTCCGGCATGTGCTTTTACGAAGGAGTCTGCTAGCATGGCGAATTAATCTATGGAGTTGGGAACCAAGTTGTGGTACCACATCATGGCCCCCTTTGAAAGCGTTTCTCCAAAATTTTTCAACAACACGGACTCGATCTCGTCGTTTTTTATGTCGTTGCCTTTTACCGCGCAGGTGTAAGCAGTAACGTGTTCATTAGGGTCGGAGGTGTTGTTGTACTTATGGAGTTCCGGCATTTTGAACTTTTTCGGGATGGGCTTCGGGGCTGCTTCCTCGGGGAACGGCCTTTGGATGAACTTCTTCGAATCTAAGCCTTTGAGGAATGGGGGCGCACCCGGGATCTGATCGACCCTGGAGTTGTAGGTCTCGACCTTCTTATCATTGGCCGCGGTCAATTTCTCTCCTAATTTGATTCTTTTGGTGAGGTCTTCGAGCATTTTTACGATGACCGGATTGGCCACTAATCCGTTGTTGCTTGACCTTACCGGTGTTCACTCGACGGGTGGAGCCGTCTCTGGTGCCGCTGTGCGGGGGTCCTCGGGTGGCTTTGCAGCTGAGTGATGGCCAGTTGTTGTGCCTGCAACATTTCGAAGATTACGTCAAGACTTAATTCATGTTCTTCCCGGGCTGAGGTTTTTTGTACTTCCTATTGGCCGTCGTGTCATATGCTCCTATCAGTGTGAGAGGTTTCGTCGACTTGTTGTGCGTCTCGTGAGTCTGCGTTGTGGAGGCGCTCCAGCGGCCGGGACAACCACGCTGCTTTCCCCGTGATTTCGAAGTTGTCGTTCTCGGCTCCGTTTATCGAGCCGGACATTTTAGCCTAAAATTAAAGGATCTTGGACAAGAAAAGTGTGAAAGATAATGTGTGTTCGCTTAACGAAACCAGCCAGAAAATAATGACTATTATTTTTAGCCCCACGGTGGGCGCCAAACTATTTACCGTGAAAATAGTAACAACAATTAAATTTGCAAATGAGATTTTAAAAATATGTGATCTATTCTCAAGCTAGTTGTTAGGGGCAGTTGATGCTAAAAATGTCAAGTATAGCGATAAAATGCGAGTTAAATCGAGGTAGTAAGCAAACCGAAAGGGGCCTGTTGGCAGGGCGTAGAGTAGGTCGATGGAGGCCTCGGGGCCGAGGCTCAAACCGGGATCGAGCTATCGGGAACAATCGGGGAAGGGATAACAAACAAAGATATGATTAAGTAAGGCTCTTTATGACCATTGCATAGCTAGACGGGCTTAGAACAAGTAAGAAAATAATGAACACGAGATGACCTCGGGCCAATGAGAACAAATGGATTAGAAGAAAAGAGAGAGAGGAGAGATATTATTGCACTTATGCAGAAAATGCAGCAACAGCCAACCACCCAGCAAGGAGGGGCGAGTCCCCTTTATATAGGAGGGGAATCTCGGTTACAAGTACATGGATAATAAATGCAAAGTATGGTGATGGGATGGATTGACATGATGCCACAGCATAGGCTCTAGACAGGCCGAGTCTGTCAGATATAGCTGTACGCCCGGGGGGCTTCTTCCTTTGTCCTGGCTTTGTTCTTTGCTTTCGCCGAGTCGAGCTTTGACGAACCCTCGGGGTCGAGGGCGAGACCACGGGCTCCTACCCTTGAGATCCCGATACATGCTTTCGGAATGTCTCGACAGCGGGAAATTAAGTCTTTTAATTTCACCGTGTATAGTGCTTTTCCGAATATTTAACTGTTGTCCTCTCGTTGCTATCTGATATTTCCCTACAGCATGTTTCCCCCTTCCCATCCTTGACTGTATATTTCTGCTTCTATTTTCCGCTGTACATTATTTATCTGCGCAGGTTTATTTGGTGGTGATGTTCTAAACGTCAATACCACACAAGAGCGGGAATGATTTGTGTGGTACCAAATATTCGATCTAGAAGAACCAGGTTCTTCTAAGTGATCAAACTACTACTGTTTGCGGAATTAAAAGTACATAAAATAAAGAACATAGAGATTTTTACGTGGAAAACAGCTAGCTCAAAAGGTAAAAAAACCACGACCTACTACTCAGTAGGATTTTTCCAAACTTCCACTAAAATCACTGAGCCAAAACAGCATTTACAAAAACTCTTTGTAAACCTAAGAATTAACTCTAATCCCTTTGTAGCACACAGCCTCAACTGTTGCGACAACTTCAAGTTAGCCTATAACTTGAATACTTAAAGTACCTATTACAATTGCTTCTATAAAAGCTTAAAGGTACAACTTTAATCCACCTACTACAATTGAACTAGAATAAGGAAAAACACAATAGAACTGGTTCTTCTATCTCGTTCAAGTAGCTTCAGGAGTGCACACTTAAATCTCACATAAATTACTTGCAAAATCGCCTTGCTCTTTTGCTCTCAATTTAGTTTAACTTCTGCGTATGTGCAACACCTGTAAAAGAGAACAATCACTGTTATTTAATGAGTTAGTAATTAGAGTTTGATTGAGACTCAATTGCTGATCTTTCATCGAAGTTGAGTCCTTGAACAACACAAACTCCAATCTTATCTTTTATCCGGATTGTGTTCTCTTCTCATAAGGAGACTTTCTCTCCTTATCCCATATGTAACCTTTTCGATCAGTTCAGGAGATATTTCTACTTGATCAATGGGACTTATCTCCTTCACGTGCATCTCACATGTATTGGTTGACAAACACCGTGCTTCACATGATGGACCTGGTCCATGACTGAGTTCATTTGTCATTCTTCAAAACTTCACCTGTTCTTGGGCCAACAAATTCCCCCTTTTTGATGATGACAAACTCAGTGCTTTTTACTGATCAAAGAACCTGTAAGAACTCATCTTAACCATCAACACTTAACTTAGAAATTTTACTTATCATCAAGGACCAGGTTAATTAGGTTATAAATATCACTTAATTCACAATAATGAGTAAAGCACAATATCTCTTCCCGCTTTTGGCATCATCGAAAAGTTGCATACACAGTGTGAATCCCAGATTTTAATAAGTACTCATGGCCACTGGGGCAACTACAAGTGAAATCATTGTGCAATTATCAATAATCAACAAACATATTTAAACTATCAAGATCAGAATCATCAGTGAATAAGAGAAAACAACAGTTGTCATTGATTGAGATATGCTTCCACAAACAAATCACAAAAAGAAAGAAAAACTTTCAAAACATGAGAATTTGGAGCATTTGTCTAGCTTTGGAGCATTTAGCATCGATTCGAGTCTTCGGAAGGGCGGGGAATGCCGGTTATGGATCTTCGGAGCGAGGTAAGTCTCCTTTCTAACCTTGTAAGAGGGAATTGTCCCCATAGGTGAAATAATTGGTTATGTGCTCCTATTTGTGGGGGCTACGTACGCACGAGGTGACGAGAGTCTGTGCGTAGCTACTAATATGTGTAAGTCCGTGTAGTCTAAGACCCAAAAGCATGCTATACTTGGAATACCTGTGATCTTGTTGACGATTGAATTTCTTAAATCCTATTGAATTGGTAAATGAATTTCTAAGAGGATTAAACTTCATTTTCTTAAATCATTAAAAGAGGATTGGCTTTTATTTGGATAAATGTTCCCCGATAAGCTCTTAATTTGCTGTTTGAGCATGTATTTCTATGTGTACCTGCGTCGCATGTATTGTACGCAAGCAGGGTGATTGTTTATTTTTTACTGACCGCGTCGCATGTATGATTCGCGAGCGGGGTAATAGATGCATCTATGGTTTGTGCCGCTCGACCCTCGGCAGTGCACAATTTACATTTATGTTGGATCGGCCCGTACGACCTCGGCATGAGTTGCGCATGCTTGTATTGCTTGCCTTGAGATTTTTTGATATTGCCATCTGCTCTCCCTGACTTGAGATAATTGTTAATTAATGGATTATGAATCCGGAGGCTTTTTATAAAAAGGAACTTTTACTTGTTTAGTAATTCATTTGAATCTACTGTCGTCCTTAATAAATTCGTGAGTCATCGCTTAAATAATATTATTATTTGACCATTAGTAAGTGTCGAAGTTGCTATCTCGTCTCTACTTCTTCAAGATTAGGCGGGATACTTACTAAGTACACGTTGTTGTCGTACTCATGCTACATTTGCTGTGCATTTTGTTGCGCAGCTACAAGAATTTCTACTGGCCTATTGGGCGTAGCAGCACGGGCGACCCGGAGACTAAGCGAGCTGTATTTCCTCGAGGTGACCCGCAGCTAGTATAGTCTCTTTCAGTGTATTGTATTTTCTTTCTGTCCAATTTGTATTCCGTGCGGATGTTGTATTTTATGGTTTCTTAGAAATAGCTCGTGCACTTGTGACACCGGGTTCTGGGGATGTCTACGGGTTTATTCAAAATTTTAAAAGTTGTTAAATGTTTCATTTCTTATTCAGTGGAATTTACTATGTATAGTTTAAGCGTATAAAAGAAGAGATTTCATAAATATTTAAAACGAGAATTTAATTAAGTAATTTGGTTGGCTTGCCTGACAGCGGTGTCTGGAGCCATCACGACCCTTAGTGGATTTTGGGTCATGACAGCGAAACAAT